CCTCCTCCTCTCCTCCTCCTCCTCCTTCTCCTCCTCCTCCTCCTCCTCCTCCTCCTCCTCCTCCTCCTCCCTCCTCCTCCTCCGCCTCCTCCTCCTCCTCCTCCTCCTTCTCCTCCTCCTCCTCTTCCTCTTTCTCCTCCTCCTCCTCCAACTCCTCCTCCCCCCACTTGCCCCATTTGCCCCACTTGCCCCGCCCGCCCGCCCGCCTTTTGCGGAAATGAGGAGGCCCACTTGCCCTGGCCCGCTTGCCCCACTTGCCCCGCTTGCCCCACTTGGGCAAGTGGGACAAGTGGGGCAAGTGGAGCAAGTGGGAGCAAGTGGGGCAAGAGGGGTAAGTGGGGCAAGGGGCAAGTGGGGCGTTCAAATAGCCTAAAACCCCTGCATGTGCAATCCATAATCCGACGTCATCGTCCTGCATGGTGCCAGGTTGCGTGCCTTCGTCATCGCTGACGTCGTCTTGCGTGTTGGTTAGGTCGGCGGGTGGGTTGCTGCAAACGTCGAGCTCGCTGGAATCGATTGGGATAATTCTTCTGGTGGCGTGGTTGATGTTTTGGCCAGTCTCTGGATGGCGTTGTGGTGCCGGTGTTGCTGTCGTGCGTCTCCTTGTTGTTCCGATTATCATTCTGCCCATGAGTCGCTGTGTTCGGCGTAACTACTGTTTGAGAGGCTCTGTCAGAGTCCACGTTTCTGCGCCGTACATCATAGTAGGTATGACGGTGCCCCGATACAGTCGAAATCGGCGTCGCAATGGGTAGCGTTTGCTGGTGAATTCCTGTTTGTGGCTGCCGAAGCATGCCCATGCTGCTTGAATCCAGTACTTTGCTTCGGTTTCGGATGCGTCTTGGAAAGCAATGCTCTGGCCCAAGTAGATGATGGTGCTTGGTCGTGGCAATATGTCGATGTCCAGAAGGAGGCAGGAGGAGGATGAGGAGGGGGAGGAGGAGAACCAAGAGGAAGAGAGTAACGTCCGCAGTTCTGAAGACCTGAAGAGGCGGCGACGGGAGGAGAAGGCATGAGGAGGAGGAAAGGCAGAAGGAGAAGGAGGAGGAAAAAGGTCGAATCTCGAATCTCGAACCTCGAGGACCTCGAACCTCAAACGTCCAAAGCCTCGAACATCGAACCCTGAAGAGGAGGATGATGAAAATGACGACGACGCGAAGACGACAACGACGACAACGACGACGACAACGACGACAACGACGACGACGACGAAGACGACGGCGACGGTGATGGCAACGGCGACGGCGACGACGGCGACGGCGAAGGCGACGGCAACGGCGATGGCGACAGCAACGGCGACGGCGACGGCGACGACTGCGGCGTCGGCGGCGACGACGGCGACGGCGACGGCGACGACGATGACAACGGCCACGGCGACGACGGCGACCACGACGACCACGACGACCGCGACGACGACGAGGTCTGAGTCATTTTTCTTCCTGACTGGCACACCAGGAAGAAAGCGCGCGCGACTCGGAGGCCGCCAGAGGCCGCAGATGGGTACCCCGCCCTGGGAGGCCCAGAGAGAGCAAGATAAACTTTTACAAAGCTCGAACCTCGAGGAGGCGGAGGGGAAGATTCACGAGCGGCGATCTAGATTCTGGGGCGCGATCTCGTGGACACGCGGTCGCATCAGTACGCCCCGCGCGGGGCATCCGCGAAGAAACGACCCGTATGCATGGGGCCGCGGCCCAGCGGCCTGGCCCGCGATGCCCTGAATATGGACATGCTGCTCGCCCACGAGAGGTCTCAGCTCCTCAACCTCCTCGGTGCGCCAGGGTTGTGGATGCCATGACAACGGATCCTCGAACTGCCCTACCATTGGATTTAAAATGTCGATTTACTGCTTTAGAACTGTATGACGCATGCTTGAAACATGTTTTGCATGTGTTGACATGTTTAAACCGGTTTTAGACATACGGGAACTGCTTGACAACACGCCTCCTCTCCATTGACCGTCTTCCACAACCCCAGAGGCGGCACGTTGCCGGTCGCACGGAGACACGAGCTGCCAGCAGCGCAGCGCATTCGAGATTTCCGCTCGTCGAAAGGCCTAGGCCTCCCTCCATCAATGGCTGGGCACGAACACAGCGGTCGGCTTGCTGCGGGTGCGCCGAAGAGCGGGGGCAGGAAGGGGAGGGTTAGCGCATCCTGGCCCGAGGTTTGCGCGCGGACGAGGGGCTCAGGTGAAAAAACAGCAACAACAACAACAACAACAACAACAACAACAACAACAACAACAACAGCAACAGCAACAGCAACAGCAACAGCAACAGCAACAGCAACAGCAACAACCACAGCAACAACAACAGCAACAGCAACAGCAACAGCAACAGCAACAACAAAAAACGGGGAACCATGAACCCTGAGAGATGCCACGGCCCTGGCCGTGCCGCCCATGCGCCCCCAGCCCTCCGACCCCCCCCCCCCTGGCCGCCCACGGCTGATCGAATCGAAGCCTCCCTCCCGGGAACCCCGGGGCGCGCCCGGGTGGAGAGCGCGCGCGCTCCGAGGGCTGCCCAGGGCCGCCGAGGGCCGCCGACCCAGGCCTTCGGCGTCGTGTCTTTTGTCCACCACGTGAACCCCTGAAGGTCTCGACCTCTTCCCCGGGGCGGGCTTCTCATCGCGCGGGTCTGGGCCAGCGTGCTTACGCCCCCCCTGGCCTGCGAGCCGCAGACCCAGACCGAAGGGGAACGAACAGAAGCCTCAGCTGGCCGCGCCTGGCCGCCAAGAAGGCGCTCAAAATGGCCCAAGGGAGCGCCGAGCTGGCCCAAGAGGCCCCCAAGACGGCCCAAGAGTGCCCCAAGACGGCCCAAAGAGGGACCCAAGAGGGGGAAGCCTGAACCAACAATCCGCGCCTTCCGCCCCAAAACGGCCCCAAGGGGGCCCACGAGGCGCCCGACAGGGCCCATGAGGCCCCCAAGAGGCCCCCCAAGAGTCCCCAAGAGACCCCCAAAAGGCCCCCCAAGAGGCCCCAGGAGGCCCCCAAGAAGCCCAAAAGAAGCCCCAAGTACCACTTCATTAACTTCTAACCCGCAACCCAGGCACCAATGATCCCAGGCCGACAACCAAGGCACGGTGACGGGATGGGCCGAAGGCCACTATCCGCCGCCCCCTGCTTGCAGGGGTGCACGGCGTGCTGGACGATTCAGGTTTTGGTTTTGGTTCTTTTTCTAAAAGAACTCCCCAGTGGGCTTCGGCCCGTCCCGCCGGCCACCCGTAATTTTCCCAAAATCCGTCTGTCAATGCCTTT